CGAGTTTCCTGCCTGTTGTGCCTGGTGCCATGAAACCAAAGGGGATGAGAGGGAATGGAAGGTGCCATCACACCCCCTGGCCGTTTCAGATTGTCACAGACCCACAGGGCCTGGTCTGTGACCGGTGAGGCCTCACCAGCTCCACTGGGCAGGGCCACGGGGTCCCTGCAGGGCATCCAGCCTAGCCAGGCCGCTGGGGGGCTTTCGCTGGACAGTGGCATTTTTCACACAAGTTGTTGTTAGCCACCTGGCCTTCGGAATCTGAGCCCTTGGGTTAGCACGGCGAGGCACAGACCACAGAGCCTGCCCCCAGGCCTGGGCCTGGCCAGGGCGTAAGGTGCTACCTCTCCGGCTGTGCGGAGCCTTCCCTTTGAGCTGAGCCCTGCTCTCCAGGAGTCGGGCTGGGTACAAGACACCCACCATGCCGAGCGGCACTGGTAGGTTGTTGTCCAGCTCCCTGTGACCTAGCTCCTCCGAATGGCTCTCACACTGGGGGCTGTGCCCAGTCCTTACATGCCCTTCGTGTCTGGCTCCTCCAGCAACAGGGTGGTTTCAGCCAGTCATGTAAGGACCCATTCATAACACTCCCGTCTGCCGCTGGGGTAACTTCTTAACCTGTGACCCAGCCCGTCTCCATGTGTGGGGCTAGGTGGGCTGGGCTTTTCGGGCAGGCGCTAGCCAGTTGGCCTGGGGTTGCCTTTCTCCCAAGCATCTTCTGCAAAGCCTGGCCTGGAACATGGCACCAATGGCCCCCAGCAGCCCCTGCCCGCTCTGGACCCTTCCGCCACTCGCACGCCGGTTTGGGATACGCCGCTTGATGCGTGCACAGCTGGAACCTCACACTCTGCAACTCCCAGAGTCCACAAAGCAGTGGTGTTTTATTTACCCCAAGTCCCAGCCAGCCTGTCCCTACCAGGCCTTGCATCTCCCAGTGGGGGCCAGGCCAAGCACTGCCCCCACCCACGCAGCAGAGTTCATGGGAGAACGGCTCCCCCCAGCAGTTCCTGCCACATTCCCCTCCTGGGGCCAGGCAGGAGGCTGCACAGCTCAGCGGCCACAGTGCACTGCAGAGTAACAAGGGGCCATTTCTTACCCGGAGATCCTGAGTCCCAGGAAAGGGGGGGAAGTCCAGTGATCAGGTGCTGTGCCCCGGCTACGTGGAGCCCATGGGGAGAAGAGGGATGGTCTTGCTGCAGCGATCCCCTCTCCAGCCCAGCCCTTTGCTCTTGCAGCAGCCTCATGGGCTGAGCAGAGCTCTCAGGAGCTGGGGGAAGTTGGGGGTGCCCCAGCCTGTGACAGGGTCCCAAGAAGGGCCAGCACAGAAACCCTGCCCCTCCACTGCAGCATCCAGCCACCCCAGGTGGCAGCCCTGAGTGACCTGGGGAGGAGAGAGCCCAGGCAGCAGGTGGGTGCCCCCAGCCCCGCATGGAGCCGGACGCAGGGGCATTGCTGCCCTGCAGGGCAAGTTCCGGCTACAGCCCCAGCCAGAGTGCCCCTCCCCTGGAGCCAGGGCAACTGGGGCGAGCTCCTCTCCCGTCCCGAGCCTGGGTCCTGCCCTGGCATTGCCCACAGACGCTGGCACGTCACTGCTCCGCCCCACTCACATCGTAGAGGGCATCACTGGGCCCTTTCTCCTGACAGGGGCATTGCTGCCCTGCAGGGCAAGTTCCGGCTACAGCCCCAGCCAGAGTGCCCCTCCCCTGGAGCCAGGGCAACTGGGGCGAGCTCCTCTCCCGTCCCGAGCCTGGGTCCTGCCCTGGCATTGCCCACAGACGCTGGCACGTCACTGCTCCGCCCCACTCACATCGTAGAGGGCATCACTGGGCCCTTTCTCCTGAAGCTTGTAAGCTGCTTCCTGAGGTGCCAGACACCCACGGCAGGGGGATGCGATTAGTCACTACCCAGTAGTTGTCGGACAGGGCGGACAGGTCGGGGTAGGCACGGCCACTGCTGTTATAGTAGGAGCGGGGCGGCAGCCGGGGGGCCGAGCGCAGGAAATTCCGCACTGCTGCAGCCTGCAAGTCAGGGAGGGAAGCAAATGTGCACCTGGGCCTTCCCTTTGCACCCCGTTGTGCCAGCCTTCATCCCCCCCC